CTACCTTCAGCTTGTTCAATTAAACCTGGAATCTGATTGGTTCCTATGCAGAGCTGCACCAGATTTTGTTTTAGTAAATCAGCCCCTCTCCTAGTTCTACTCCAACAACGCTGAAAGAAAAAAAGAAGAAAAGACTTACTTTAATATGTGTCTTAAACCTCAGCGATTAGATTCAGCAGAACTGCAACCTCTGGTCATAGGACTCTGTGATGTGCAACCTCCCTCTCCTGCTTCCCTGTGAGGCGCTCCCAGATACAGAGGGCAGAACTGGGACCTGTGAACAACTTAACCAAAAACTGACATACCAGACCTTGGTGGAGTGACAATTTAAATTGGATGTGCGCAAAAGGATGAAGTCTTGGTTCACACCACTGTGTGCGCAGGAGCATGATCGTGTTCCTGCACATCACGAGTAGGGCAGCCCATTGGTTTCTATGAAGGTAAAAAGGTCCTTGACCCTGTTCCAGAATCACACTGTAACGCACGCTGCTACAGCCCCCTTGCGTTTCGGCTCACGTGAAAATGCGCTTATTATCAGACTAGAGTGCTATTAAAAATTATTGGCACCAACAAGTGTCCACTAAAGGCAAAGAGTCCCTATGCCTGTTGGGTAAGTGCGCAATTTTTCACACATTCTTGAACCGCGCTAGTGTGAACCTAATGGGGTCAGTCATTTTGTAGCATCAAAAGTAATAAATTGATAAAGCTCCCTGAAATGTTCACCTGCCCATCAGGGAATGAGATTAGCACGCCTGCTGAGATAAAGTCAATTAGTTCTGAGTAGAGTCATGCCCATGGAAGGTATATATGTAAAGCGACAAATGACCAGTTCACTTTTTTTTCCTGCTGCAGAAGGTTTAGTAGCATTAATTGCACATATTCACCACCATTGGTCCTCCAATTGAACGCTGATCAGCACCGAATGGATTTTTCAGTGATGGATCATATTGATTATACATTGATCATATTTATACACAGATAGTATTACATCTGCCACCTCCAAATACACATCCCCCAAACAGCAAATAGATTTGTTTTTATTAATGATTCCTGTATTAATGTTTGATTATTTATCAGTGATTCCTTTTAATAAAATAATGATTGATTACTTATCAATGATTCCTGTAATAAATTAATGTTTGAATATTTATCAATAATTCCTCTATTAAAAATATTTGATTATTTATTAATGATTCCTGTATTAAAATAATGTTTGATGACTTTTCAGTGATTCCTGTATTGAGAATTTTTTGATTATTTATCAATAACTCCTGTATTAAAATAATGTTTGATTATTTATCAATGATTTTTATAATAAAATATTTGAATTTTTATCAATTATTCCTATTTAAAAAAAGTTGAAATAATGTTTGATTACGTATCAGTGATTCCTGTATTGAGAAATGTTTTTTTATCAGTGATTCCTGTATTAAATAATGTTTGATTATTTAGCAATGATTCCATTAATAAAATAAATGTTTGAATACTTATTAATGGTTCCTGTATTGAAAAATGTTTGATTATTTATCAGTGATTCCTGTATTAAAACAATGTTTGATTATTGATTGTTGATAATCAAACATTATTTATTATTCCTGTAATATATTAATGTTTTATTATTTATCAATAATTCCTGTATTAAAAAAAAATTTATCAGTGATTCCTGTATTAAAATAATGTTTGATTATTTATTAATGATTCATGTTAAATTATTGTTTGATTATTTATCAGTGATTCCTGTATTAAAATAATGTTTGATTATTTATTAATGATTCCTGTATTAAAAAAATTATTATTTTGAGTCCTGTATTAAAATCAATGTTTAATTCCTTATTTTAATAAATGATTGTTTGATTATTTATCAATGATTCCTGTATTAAAAAAACTGTTTGATTATTTATCAAGTGAGTCCTGTATTAAAATAATGTTTGATTAATTATTAATGATTCCTGTAATAACTTATTGCTTGATTATTTATCAATAATTCCTGTATTTAAAAATATTGATTATTTATCGATGATTCCTGTATTAAAAAAAAGTTTGATTATTTATCAATGATTCCTGTATTAAAATAATGTTTGATTGACTGTTTATCAATAATTCCTGTATTAAAAAATGTTTGATTATTTATCAGTGATTCCGGTAATAGGATAATGTTTGATTACTTATCAGTGATTCCTAAAATAATAATGTTTTTCTTTGCAGAAATAAATGTAACTATTGATGACTTTCTGATACAACGTTGGTTGCTACAATGTTGCAACATTGCAACAAGCTGATACAGGCACGTGGAAATGATTGGAAGTATTTGGAACGTGTGCACGCCAGGAATGATCGTTCTGCAGCACCTACTGTACAAAGCCTCAAACAAATGAGATTTTCTGCAGCGATTTTTATTTTTTTTTTGGCCTCGCACGCTTGTGTTGCGTTTCACGCTTTTAAAAAACCCTCTGAAAATATTTGAGCAGGATTCCCATTCAGAGTCGGTGACCGTAGCCCGCCCCCGAATCTGCTGTTTACAGGGCGGGCAACGGTGCATGGCATTGCGGTGACAAGCGGGCACAGCGCGCTCCCCCCTCCCCCCACCCACCGCCACCAACTAAAATAGCCGATCTATAATTGGAGAAAACCCCCTTTTAATTTTTCACTGTCATCGTTTTTCTATTCAGAGCCGCACGGCGAGGAATTCCGTCGTCACCTGCTGACTATTTCGCCTTGTGTGATGGCGAGGACGCGGACAGATGCCTGCCCTGTGTTTTCATTGCGCGCCTTTTCACTGGAAAGCGGCGAAACCAAATAAGCAGATTGTGAAGGAGAGGAGGAATTTCGGATCTTGTGGAGCGTTTCACATTTCCCCCTGACCTGAGCGCAGGTGTGAGAAGTGGGTCCAGCGTTGCTCATTAACGCAGAGAATTCCAAGTTTACGCCATACAATTTCTTGGCGACCAAATTTTTTTTTTTTTTTTTTGATGAACTGGAATTTTTTTTTACATAATCAATTTTTATCAAGCGTAAGGAATATAGGCCAACCAACATAAAATTCGGTAAATGTAAATATATAAGTAAAAAAAAAAACCAATAAAAATAGAAAAGTTTGGGGGTTACCCTGGGGGAAGGAAGAGGAAAGGGGGATCTCTCTACCCTCTGGTTCAGCATTTCTCAACCCTCTTAACATGGAGGAACCTTTTAAAGAACTTTCCAAGTTAACGGAACCCCTACCATTAATTACAGTACCCACAGGACCTACATTAGTGTGGTGGTCACTGGGAGGAATGATCCTTTGATTTGTGGCCATTGGGAAGAATGCCCACCTTACAGATAGCTAGAAAGATCATTGGTCACAATGTGATCCTATCTGTGATGCAGAAGTTGCTGATTGTTCGAGGAACCTCTGGGGGGAACCCTAGTTGGGAAAGGCTGTTCTGTCCGTTCGAGAAGATAGTCCAAGCCCATGTTAGGTCAGGTAATAGTCATGTAGTATTTCCACCATGCTGACCATACAGTCCATTCTAGGCTCATTAAGTCACCCAAGATGAGCTACCAACTGGAGTGTGAGAGTTGCTTAGGGAGGGGGTCCATAAGAGCCAGATGTCCAAGTGGTGGTGACATTGTTGGGAGGATATGGTAGGTCCTGAGGGGCCGAGAGGGAAGTCAAAATAATGCACCCAGGGGGGCGGGAAATAGGGAATAAGGGGGTAAAGGAGAATGGTGGGGTGTGGGTGCTGGTAGCGGTGGGCAGGGCTGTCTTAATGCATGGGCACCCCTGGACACTGCCCAGGGGCCCCAGGTGCATGGAGGCCCCGTGATAATCTTGCAGTACATAATACTTGCCAACTGTCCCGGATTTGCCAGGACAGTCATGCTTTTTACCAAGCTGTCCTGGGATGGCACAGGCAGCATCCCAGAACCTGTTTTGTGCCCTCCTGATCCTCCCTGTACTGTGCCCTCCTGATCCCAGTATTGTGCCCTCCTGATCCCAGTATTGTGCCCTCCTGATCCCAGAATTGTGCCCTAGGACATTCTTCCCACTGACCACCAATGTAAGGGACATTCTTCCCACTGATCTCCAATGTAAGGGATGTTCTTCCCACTGACCTCCAATGTATGGGACATTTCTCACACTGACCACCAATGTAAGGGACGTTCTTCCCACTGATCACCAATGTAACGGATATTCTTCCCACTGACCAACAATGTAAGGGACATTCTTCCCACTGATCACCAATGTAAGGGACATTCTTCCCACTGACCCCCAATGTAAGGGACATTCTTCCCACTGACCACCAATGTACGGGACATTCTTCCCACTGATCACCAATGTAAGGGACATTCTTCCCATTGACCCTCAATGTAAGGGGCATTCTTCCCACTGACCACCAATGTAAGGGACATTTTTTCCACTGATCTCCAATGTAAGTGACATTCTTCCCACTGACCTCCAATGTAAGGGACATTCTTCCCACTGACCACCAATGTAGGGACATTCCTCCCACTGACCACCAATGTAAGGGACATTCATCCCACTGACCACCAATGTAAGGGACATTCCTCCCACTGACCACCAATGTAAGGGACATTCCTCCCACTGACCACCAATGTAAGGGACATTCTTCCCACTGACCTCCGATGTAAGGGACATTCATCCCACTGACCTCCAATGTAAGGGACATTTTTCACACTGACCACCAATGTAAGGGGCATTCTTCCCACTGACCACCAATGTAAGGGACATTCTTCCCACTGACCACCAATGTTAGGAACATTCTTCCCACTGACCACCAATGTAAGGGGCATTCTTCCCACTGACCCCCAATGTAAGGAACATTCTTTACAATGACCACCAATGTAGGGAACATTCTACCCACTGACCCCCAATGTTAGGAACATTCTTCACAATGACCACCAATGTAAGGAACATTCTTCCCACTGACCCCAATGTAAGGGGCATTCTTCCCACTGACCACCAATGTAAGGGACATTCTTCACACTGACCACCAATGTAAGGGACATTCTTCACACTGACCACCAATGTAAGGGACATTCTCCCCACTGACCCCCAATGTAAGGGACATTCTTCCCACTGACCACCAATGTAAGGGACATTCTTCCCACTGACCACCAATGTAAGGGACATTCTTCCCACTGACCCCCAATGTAAGGGACATTGTTCCCACTGACCCCCAATGTAAGGGACAATTTTGGTATTGACTACTAATAACTTGGTTTTAGTAATGGTTCTCCCAGATGTGAAAATTATTTAGGGGTTCCTCTGGAGCAAAAAGTATGAGAAAGTCTGGTCTAGACATCACTTACTGTTCTATGTTGTCATTCATTGAAGACTAATAACAAGCTATGCTAATTTGAGGGTAACCGAAAGCAACTTGCAGCATCCAATGAGATTACAGCACAAAAAGTCATCTACACATTGAAAAAATCCTCCGCCAAGACCAGAGCTTTATATTCAGTTTATAAAACTTTTCATCTATCTAGATGTTATTCTTTGTTATTCTGTGTAATCCAGACAGCGGTTTGTGGAGTACGTCCCCTTTAACATAGAATGTTCTGGCGGCAAATTGTCTATCAAAGCTGTCAAGTTTTTCTTTTTTCAGTGAGTTTCCAAGGTCTGCGGAAAGCGCTCTTCATCTCCCCATCTGGGTCCCCGGTCAATTTTCTAGTGGGCATTCACTGACATCAATAGCTAACGTTCCCTCTGCCTTGTGTACCAGCGGAGGAGGTCTGTGGGGTCGCCGAGATCCTGGGGGCAGCCCCATATAATGCTCAATGACTAATTAAATTAACATGGATCTGTCCTGTGCATTAGCAACAGAGAAGAGACCAATACTGCCACTGGCAGAAAAAGGGGAAAAAAAAGTCCAACTTTAATAGGACATAGAAGGATCATATCAACACAAGACTCAAGGCAAACCTAAAAAGATCAGTCCTGTTCCAGATGGGAGCTAAGATTGAAGAGCATGATATATATATATGTTACCAAAAGTATTGGGCCAGCACTCCAAATCATTAGATTCAGGATTTCCAATCCCCTCCATGGACACAGGTGTATACAATCAAGCCCCTAGGCATGCAGACTGCTTCTACAAACATTGGTGAAAGAATGGGTCGCTCTCAGGAGCTCAGTGACTCCAAGTGTGGTCCCGTGATAGGTGGCCACCTGGGCAATAAGTCCATCCGTGACATTTCCTGGCTACTAAATATTCCACGCTCAACTGTTAGTGGGATTATAACAAAGTGGAAGCAACTGGGAACAACAGCCACTCAGCCACCAAGTGGTAGGCCACGTCACATGACAGGGCGGGGTCAGCGCATGCTGAAGCGCACAGTGCGCAGAAGTCGCCAACTGTCTGCAGAGTCAATAGCTAAAGACCTCCAAACTTGGTGTGGCCTTCAGATGAGCCCAACAACATTGCGTAGAGAGCTTCATGGAATGGGTTTCCATGGCCGAGCAGCTGCATCCAAGCCTTCCATCACCAAGTGCAATGCAAAGCGTCAGATGCCGTGGTGTAAAGCATGCCGCAACTGGACTGTAGAGCAGTGGAGACGTGTTCTCTGGAGTGACCAATCATGCTTCTCAGTCTGGCATTCCGATGGACGTGTCTGGGTTTCGCGTTTGCCAGGAGAACGTTACTTGCCTGACTGCATTGTGCCAAATGTAAAGTTTGGTGGAGGGAGGATTATGGTGTGGGGTTGTTTTTCAGGGGTTGGGCTTGGCCCCCTAGTTCCAGTGAAGGGAACCCTTAAGATCACATTTTGGACAATTTCATGCTTCCAACTTTGTGGGAAGAGTTTGGGGATGGCCCCTTCCTGTTCCAACATGACTGCGCACCAGTGCACAAAGCAAGGTCCATAAAGACATGGAGGAGCCAGTTTGGGGTGGAGGAACTTGACTGGCCTGCACAGAGTCCTGACCTCAACCCCACAGAACACCTTTGGGATGAATTAGAGCAGAGACTGCGAGCCAGGCCTCCCCCCCCCGACATCAGTGCCTGACCTGACAAATGTGCTTCTGGAAGAATGGTCCAACCTTCCCATAGACACCCTCCTAAACCTTGTGGACGGCCTTCCCAGAAGAGTTGAAGCTGTTATAGCTGCAAAGGGCGGGGCCAACTCAATATTGAACCCTACGGACTAAGACTGGGGGGCCATTAAATGTCATGTGCGTGGAAAGGGCGAGGCCAACTCAATATTGAACCTTATGGACTAAGACTGGGAGGCCATTAAAGGTCATGTCCGTGGAAAGGCCGGCAGACCAATACTTTGGCAATATAGTGTATATATATGAATAAAATCCCAGCAAGCTTTAGGGAAGAATCTTGCGCATTGACAGGTACATGCATTTTAAAGTTTTTTGTTTTTTTTAAATAATTGACATCCTCAATGTTCTGTGTTTATATGGGGGGGCCCTTTTGGGTTGGCTGTATGGGGGCCCAATGGTCTCACTACATATGAGATAGATGATCAACGCAATGCACGGCAATGCCTCAAGTAACACACATGGTAACACGCATGCATAGGTGTACATGAACCCTTAAAGCAGCTATATCAAGTGTTTTTTAATACAAGCTAGTATTAATACCAGTTGTCTTTGTATTAGCTTCCTGTAATATTCTGCACAACAATTCAGATTGCAAGACACAAGGGCAGTACTGGGCACAAGCCTCTGCCACAGTATAGAGCACTGTCAACCAAACACTGGAAACATGCTGACAAGGGGTGAGCACAGTTAAAAAGCAATGACTTCATCAGTGAAGTGATGATCCAATGATTGCAAGACTTATAGCCGATCCCTGACCAAGCTGTGCTGCTTAACTGCAGAGGGAATACATGAAATGAGCCGGCCGTGCTTGAAGCAGTACCTTGGGCCTACTGGTATACAGCAGAAGATTCCAAATGACTTTTGTCAATCAGTGGAATCAGAAAGACATCACCAAGCTGAATGGATCACCCAAAAAAGTCAAAGACTGTCTTATCTTGTGGAGAGACCCTTCCAATCTATCTCTCAGCAGGTCCCTCAGGCTTGGAAACGCATTGTTACTTCAGATGCCAGTCTCCCAGGCTGAGGGCACATTGCTGTGGAAAGATGGTCAGCCCAAAGGTACACACTTTCAAACATTCTAAAGCTCAGGGCAGCCTTCAATGCACTACAGGTATTTGAACCTCTTCTTCGAGGTCAGAAAGATAGACAACTCTACTGAGGTCTCAAATGAAGCCCCTCAAGGCCGGACAAGAAGTATGGTCCTTCTTCTAGAGACCACTTTGGTTTTCGAATGGGCAGAGCCATGTCTGAAGAAGCTCATAGCATCCTTGGTCTTAACAACATTCAAGCAAATACTCAGCCGATCCTTCGCAGACATAAAGGAATGGTAGATGAAGAGCTCCTATCTCAACAAGATCTTCAGTGAGTAGGGATACCCTACCATCGATCTGCCGGCAAGCAGATTCAACCCCAAGGGTCCAAATCATTACTTGAGAGTCATGGATTCAGAAATGGATGTGCTAGCCCAGGTCTGGAATCACCTCTTAGTCTATGTGTTCCCACTGGTACCTCTGGTTTTGAAACAAGTAGAGGCAATTGCTCTAATTCCTGTGTGGCCCGGGCACTTATTGTGATGGGAATCACTTTGGGTGGGGGGCCCATGGAACCCAGCTTACTTTGGAGAGGTGGGGAGACCCCTGTCTCAGCTCCCCATATCCCTCTTATGTGTAAGTCACCCTGTGCCTGTTAGGGGTACAGGGTGATCTGTCCTAATATTGGGGGGGGGGTTGTTGATTGTTTGATGTTCAGGGGTGGACTGACCTTTCCAGCACTCCGGCACTGCCCAAGGGCCCGGGGTCAGTAGGGGCCCCATGAAATGTCCCTAGTACCTTTTCATAGGCTTTTTTTTTAGGTTGAGCAAGGACACGGGGGCCCCATGATCCCCTATTGTCCAGGGGCCCCATGAGTTGTCAGTCCGCCCCTGTTGATGTTATGCGGTTGCATCTGTCAAGGTCCTACCTTTCCTCAGAGGTTTGCTGCTCCATGTGCTGGCATCCATCTTAGGTTTCTGCAAAGCATGGTGGGAGCCTTTTATGCTTTCAGGCCTCTGCGGTCCCTCCCCCAGAGGGGTGTGGTTGATCACATTTAAGCCTGTTGTCTGCACTTGCTCTTTGCATTTGTGTCCTGTATGTTCCCTTGCAGCAAGCTCTTGTTCTGTTATCATTGCTCTCCTGGTAACCGACTCGGCTTGGACAAGACTATTCTCTGCTTTAACCCATTACCTGACCTCCCGTTGCTAAACCCGGCCCGTGACCTGAGTATTCTTTGCCTACCGTACTGTCTGCTCCGTTGTTATAGACCCGGCCTGCCTGACCACGCTACACGTTTTCCCATCTAGCTCCCACTAGCTGTACGCCATTGGCGGCAGTCGTTACCGCAGCTGGGGTTACTCGGGGGATGCGACCTGGTCTCAGGCTGTGTCAAGTCCATCCCCACCATCAGGGGCCCTGGTGAAGGGCAGCCTGGGGCTTAGACTCCGCGCCCTGAGGGACTCTGGTCTGTGGGTAATGGCTGTCGTCAGTCACTGCGTGACCTTACCATAGGCCTGCCTGCCTATTCCATCGCTCCTGCCCTGACAGCATCCCATTGTTCTATTGTGTGTTTTGCTTGGGAGCAAACTATTATGGGATGTATGTGTTTATGTGTATTGGCTTGGTGGGGGGTGTCTCCAGCAGTCCTCCCTCCTGATGGGACTGTCTGTTGGTGTGTTTCTAGTTACTAAAGGTAGATTGCCCCGCCCTGTGTCATTATGCAGATAGGGGGGGTTGTCCCCTTGAGTGTATATATCTTGTATCTGTGTTCAAATAAACTAGTCTACCTCCTGGTTTACTTCAAGACTGGTGTCGTCTAGTCTTGTATGGTCGGCTGTGGTGTCTGTGGTCGGTGTTCGGACGGGGAAGCGGCATTCTAACGGAAGTACTCAAGCACAGACTGGGTCGGTTCCGTTACACTTATGATTCCCGCTGTTGCAGAGTGTGAAGACTCAAGAGATATCGGAATTCCCAACAGAGAGCATATTCAGCTCTGGATGTTGGTGAAAAAAATTCCCCTTCTAAAGCAAGTCATGGCGTGCTTGTGTCATGGCACCTTAATGACCTTGGCTTTTTGGGCAAAAGTTCTGGCAGTGCAGA